AAGAGGATGCTATGAGCAAGGGGAGCGGGCACAGCTCACTCTGGGATGTGTAGGTCCCAGGGTGAATATTGCTGGGTAACAACCAACAGGCAAGAATAGCATTTGATGGGAGGAATGGGGTAGCTGGAAGCTCTGAGACAACTGAATATCAAACAGTACAAAAGACAACAGGAAGATATTTAAATAGAGCTTTCATCTGAATCTGCAGTGTCAGTGAAAAAACACCCTCTTGGAGTATCACTTCATTTCCTGTAGTACCTAAAAACACTTTAACACATCATGCACTTCAGACACAGCTTACTTAGAATAAGTTTACTACAAAGTTATACTACAAAGGCTTGCACAATGTGCTACACGTATTTGAAATAGGACAAGGGGTAATGGCTTCAAACTGGAAGAGGGTAGATTTAGAATAGGTATTAGGAAGAAGTTTTTCACTCCAAGGGTGGTGAGGCACTGGCACAGGTTGCCCAGGGAAGTTGTGGAGGCCCCATCCCTGGAAGTGTTCAAGGCCAGGTTGGATGGATCTTTGAGTGACCTGGTCTAGTGGGAGGTGTCCCTGCCCATGGTAGGGGGTGTAGATGATCTTTAAGGTCCCTTCAACCTAAACCATTCTATGATTCTATGAAATGTATGAGTGTGGTGTCTTAATGAAAAGAAAGTGGAACTATAAGGGAATATACAACCTGTCTAAGCTGTGCGCCTTTAGGAATTTAAATTTACACTGGTTTCCTGCAGTGGATTGGGTTGAGAATGGAACTTAGAACAAAAACTTAATTGCCAGTCTTTCAGTACTCCAAAATTAGGCTAGACTGCTGACATGCCGACACTACTGAAGTTGTCCACTGCAGGAAGAAATCTGCAGAGGGTGGAAGACACCCCAATGTTCCACGTGGGACTGAGAACCAGCACAGCCCTAAGGGGAGAAAGGTGGCAAGACCTCAAAATCGAGGAAGACCTGCAGCTGGTTCTAACAACAGCAGCACAATCGAGGGCAATACCTAACATTGCCTGTGCTTCCATGACTGAACAAAAGCAAAAGGCAGGCAGATAAATACTGATTAGATCAAAAAAAAAGATGGTTAACTTGAACAAAACATGGACTGTGATTGCCAAAAATACATCTGAAGAGCAGAGCCAGCAATGTTAAGGCCGTTAGCACAGGTTGGGACAGGAGGAGCCCAGCTCCACTTACCAATTCTGGAGCAAGATCCCACCCCTATATCAACCTTTTTTTAAAAGACAGCAGCACGCTGATCTTTAAGATGTTAGAGGAAAATGTATTAAAAATTATAGGCTATGTGTGAATTTAAAAAGCAAACAAAGACTTAGTAAAATTTTGTATTGGCCTCATTGTAGCTTCTGTGATATCAGATTAGCTGTGGAGGCTTGTGGTATGCCACGGACACAACTTCAGTGCAGACAAAGGAGTATGTCCCAGTGACAAAAGAAAAGGGCATGGGTAACATCTTTCATAGACTTATTTATGTTTATGGCAAAAATATGTAATTTAATATTCTCAATTTGCTGGAACGAATATGCTAAAGGAGTACCTCAGCTAAGCAGCTCATTGACAAAGTCAGACTTGTTTAGCTAGATAAATATTCTAGGTTGCAGTTTACATGGCACAAGTTTGAGCAGGTCACAGTAAAGTTGGTCATCTTTTTCCCTTAATTCAGTGGGATACCTGAAAGTAATTTTAAAGTAATACCATCCAAAGGGATTGTAGTGAAACAGTGTCAGATTCAGTTTCATTGATGCCATATCCTGTTATTTAATATTGCAAAGTATAATTTAACAGTTCTAACAATGAACCATTGTTGGTAACCTGTGGACATTTTTGATTGATAGAAAACTCCAAACTAGAATACTAATAATGGAAAAAGCTGGAGGCAAAAGAAAATACAGGATGTGCAAACGTATAAAGAAATAGAAGACTTCAAACAACACAGGGTGGTCAATACCTAGGAATTAATGCATCTTTGCAAAAAGACAAAAATGGAAATAAGTAATCACAGATATCAGAGATGACAGATAAGGTCATCCGCAGCCAGAGACAGTGAAAGGAACATATGGCACCTTACCCAGCTCCCAGGAAGGAGGGAGACCAGACAAGTACAGAATGAGATGTAAGAGTGGTGGTTTGCTGCAGAACTGAGGTAAGACCACCAAATCCCCTGATATAAAACAAGCAGAACAAATGACTTTTCCATATCAACAGTGGCGGTGATATTTCAACTCAGAATCATTGTCATTTTTTAAGTTGTAAGCCATCTAAGTAGGCTCCACTTATCACTTGGAAATTTTTAAAATACCCATATATTTTTAAATGTTGTCCAGAAATAAAGTTGAAGCACTAAAATCAGCTAAGGACTTTCCTACGGTAATTTACACCACCTCAACTGAAGGGCAGGAACTCCTTTCCCTGCTACAAGCTTTTTAGCAAGCAGATATCTGAATGTATTCCAAGAGACTATTAATACCGTGGTTAAGGAAGACCAAACAGGTTTTGTACTTGCATTTACATCTGATAGTTTTTCTTTAATAGGCAGAAACATGGTAGCCTTTAATAATGGGAAAGGAAATGAATATTTCCTCTGCTGCTTTGTCAGACAAGGAATAAAGGAGCAGTTCTTTTTTGTGAATTTTCCAAGACTCTCAGCAAGTGACAATACATAAAGGGCTTTTTGTTGTCTCTCTCTTAAAGGGACAAGTTTATATTCTCCCTTTTTTGTACTTCTAAAGTTACATAAGGGTATCTTGCGCTGCTTGAAACAGTGCAATATGTAAACTCAAAATATGTAGGAGTTATAACATTTGCAAGACATATTTCTTCTGCTGCAGTAAAATGCTACTATTTTTAATGATGCAAAAACCAGACTAATTGTGTACATATTTCATGATATTCTCTGATAGAGTTCACTGTGTGAATGCTGTATTGAACAATTAAACAACAGCAGATGTATGGAGACAGAGAGAGAAATCAGAAAAGATGTTTACTTTTTAGATTCAGATCTTGTCTGCCAAATGTCTTAAATCAAATAATGAAGACTTATACTTTTAATTAGTTCCTTAGATTCTGGGCTGTGAAGTTAATTAACTACACCAGGCTTACACAAGATTTTCCCGTAATATGAATAAAATAGTTTCGGTTTTGTTTGCTTAAATTAGCTTTTGCACTGCAGATAGTACTAGTCCTTTTCAAAGACGCTTAGAAATTGTGGCAAAGTATTTATCCAACTGAGTAACTTCTGTGAAGCACTGGTATATGAACTAGTCAAAAAGTGGGGGAAGAGTTTAAATCAGTTTAAATGTTTTTTGCCTCCAACTGACCAATATTTCAGATTAAAAAAAAAACAACAACCCAAAACATCTGCCAGGTGTATTTTCAGAGAACACAAAGGTGACTCACAAGAGGTGCAGGATGCAGCCCTATTGTCTAAGGCTCACTGGCATCCGTACAAGTGAAGCATCAGCATATGAATGAATGAGCCTTCAGGAAACTGCCCCTGCTGACTGTGATGGACCCCGAGCTGGAAATAGTGCTGCTCACTCACCGTCACCATTAGGACTGTTTTCTTAGGGCACGTATCCAACCATATTTAAACACCTCTGCACCCCAATGACAATGTGAGATCTCTGAACAAGCCTGAGGGTTCAAAACTCACTATTACTTTTAAGTGGAAATCTTATATTCTGCAGAGCTGGGCACTGATTCAAGTACTAGATAAATATATCAGGCAGGCTGCCTTCAGCCAGGGAATTGCAACCTGACACATGCTTTATGAATTAGGAAAGTAACCTGTATTGATTTGTATTAGTGCTGATCTCATATTCCTCAGCAAGATTCAGGTGACATTTACACTCTCTTGATGAATTATAAGTTCATATCATTTGTAGAGGCAAGCCAGACAAACCAAAGAACTGTTACTTTCAAATGAGAGATTTCATAACAGAAAGAGCCTATGTTTTCTCAAATTTTGAAGTATTTTTAACCTTGTGCCCCTGGAAGTTGCCAAGCTGGCTAGCCTGGATGCGAGAAACGCTTAATGGGAGAAGAGTAATACCACAGGCAGGCAGACAGGCTTCCTCTGGCTGCAGAGTCAACACGGTCTCAGACTCTAGGACACCATCAATCTTCAGTCTCTCTGTAGAGAATGCCACTGAGCATCATTTAGCAGCAGCCCCAGACTGCAAGGAGACAATGAAGCGATTTCAAAGCAGCTGCCACTCACTCAGCCAGGTTACAGGGCCAGGTACACTCCACAATCAGAGGCAAAGGGACCAATCCCACCTGCAGACTGTCAGTTTCTGGATTCATAGGTTAATTTTTAATCCCCGCTCTTGCCTACTCTTTGCTTATGAGTTCAACTATCTAAGCAATTTGCAGAAGCTTGAATTATTTTTAGCAGGTGGATGTGTACATCCTGCTACTTATAGTCTGTTCAGAGTCAGGATTTGTTAGAGTATATATATCTTTATACTCTCAGAAACAAGGTTGTGGGAGGGAGTGATCTCTTATCATTCTAATTGATACTGTCGGGGGGATGAAGAGGAAAGACAAGTTTTTAGGTCACAATGTTGTCTTGACAATTTCTTCATTTCTGAAGCAGAAGCAGGAAGCTTGGAGATGGGTGCAGGTCAGAACTGGAGACAGCTACCAAGGACAGAAATGCCTCTTGCCTTCAGGAGAAAGTTTTCAGGGACCAGCCGCTGCAGCTCTGGTCTCTCAGTCTCATCCCAAGCTGCTTTCCAGAGATGAGCCTAGGAAGAACAAAACATAATTTCACAACCTATTAAAAATAATAAATTCAGTACAGATCATTTTTGCCGTAACATGCCTGCTGTTCTTCCAGAGCTGCTGGCTGTCTACATCCTACAGCCCTGACAGCTTCTCTGCCTCCCTCCTTGCTGTCAGGCGTCCGTGCCTCACAGTTGCCAATGACCCTTTTCCCTCAACTTGTTTGAAGGGATTGAACTCTGACTAGTTGCTCACCTACCTGTATTTTGCCTGAGGTTTAGTGACTCTCTTCCAGGACTGAAGAAAGTCCATGTGTTCAAGTGCTTGTTTATTCTCTCCAGCAGTATCGATGCTCTATCGAAGACATGATCTCTCATCTTTATCCCACCATAGCTTTATGATACCGCTCCTTACTCTTCCATATACCTTGATTACTTTTCCCCATGTGCTATTTCTGGGATTTATGATAGACCGGGGGGCGAGCACGCAAGCAGTTAGGTGCATGCAAGGGAGAATACTTCTTATGTTTGGTTTTAGCATTGGCTGTATTCCCAGACTTGGAGATTTCTGGAAGGTGACTGTGTACAAGCCGTGTCTATCAGGGAGCAGCAAGGGCTGGGCTGCCCTGTGAGGGCAGGCGAGCCGGGAGCCACTAGTGCCAGTGAGGCAGCAGGGCCAGTGGCCGCACTGAGCAGGGTGCAGTCTGGGAGGACCCCAGCCAGGCGAGGGGGCAGGCCCAGGCATGGCAGCCAGGGTTGGCGACAGTCAGATGACCACCAGGCGAGTCTGTAGGGACAGGGCAGGCCGAAGGTTGACTCAGGAAGTCCAGGGCGCAAGGCAGGGTCAGGATGGGGGAGGAACAAGCCTGGCGCAGGCCGATCTGCAGCATAGGCAAGGGCCTGAGGTTAGCTGCAGGCTCCAAGCCGAGGACCAGAGGCCCCAGGCGAGGTGTCTCACAGGTCTTCAGGGTGGGCTGGTCCAGGTCACCAAGCCATGCTCCATTGGAGCTGGCCTTGAGCAGAGGCAGCAAAACCTCTGCAAGGGGACTGGCCTGGTGGCACATTCAGGGCCCTGACAGTCCTGTGGCTTCGTTTTAACTCAGTTTTGTCCATTGGCAGTTCAACTTTGCAAAGGATAGGGGCTGCTGGTGGGACCCGTAGTCAAAGGAGAAGCGGTGCTCCTTGATGTGGGTCTGTCACATCTAACAGAGCTCTAAAGTTTAGGACCAGGACCTCGCAAATGCTGTAATATTTGAAGAGAAGCTGATGCAGGTTAATATTTTGTACTAGTTATGTTGTTGTGCTGTGACCAAACTGAAGAATTCAGTGATCATTTGTGTTATTATAGTGATTTTTTTCAAAATTTTTATCACACACAGGGATCCAGACAGTTCACAGCCATACCTGCTCATCCTAGCTCTGGAACATGACCAGGTGAGATGCAAAGGGCAGCCAGAAATTGTTTGTCAACGTAATATTTCTCCCAATGTGTACTCTCTCCACTGCAGTTTTATTTATTTATACTCTCTATCCTATTCTCATCATGTTACCTGTTTTTTAAGCTGTCTTTCCTTGTCTTTTCCTTGTCTTTAAGAAAGTTAGAGATTAACAACAGAATCTGAGTGCTGAGACCTACCATCTAAAACATTTTCCTTTAATCTGAAAGGACATCTAAATTTTACATGTCTTTTAAACAAGTCTTATAAAAGTCTGTATTCAAATGGACAGGACGAGAGAACAGAGTGAGGGACACTCACTGAAGATTTACTTGTTCAAGAAAATTTTGGGTGTATTCATTCACACCAGCTTTATTCCCTGCTGTATATGTGAACACGTAACAAATGTGCAACATAATTTGGTTGGTATACAGTGCAGGAAACAGAGCTCCTTGTAAAAGAACTGCAAAACCAGATGGACTGCTAATGTGAAGGTACTCAGAAATGTTGCAAGTTTCTGGAATTACCCTATCACCTTCTGTTCCTAACATTCACTTTGGAGGGTTAAATAGTTGTTTTGCACAGCTTTTTGGAAGTGTAAAAAAAGCCACCCCTCTATCATGCTGGCATACCAAAAAGATAAATCCTTTCACAGTTTATCTTTCTTCAAATACAGTATTTGGTATGAAGAGTGATTTGTTTAGACTATTTCTAATGCTTTGATTTTCCCTTCAAAAAGATACCCCATTCTAGAGTCTACAGACTTCAAACACTCCCCAGAGCCCAGAGGGCTGGAGAACAGACACCCGTGTCTTCCTAGAAGAGCCCACTCCTCCTGCTTTTGTGGGGAAGGGGCAAGCTGAGGCACAGGCAAGTGAGATAAATATAAACCAGATCCACAAAACCAAATGCCCTTCCATTACCACTGTCCTATGGTATGCTTGCTGAGATATGCCAGTTGTCGTGGGAGCTACTGCTCGGGGCATGGGGAGGCTGGATTATGCTCCCACTGAGTGCCCTTGCCTAGAGGTAGCTTGTTCAGTCTCTTTGAGACAGGGGCATCAGCACTGCACCAGGCACTGCTGCGAGCAGGAAAATCTTCCAGCCTGGCACTATCGAACAGAACACGGCTGTGATTTTCTCTGATTGTACCAGTAGTCCCTTGGCAAAGCAACTAATTAAATTAGGATGATGGAGCTGAAATTTATATCTATTTCATTACGGAGTGACTTAATAAAATCGTCTGTCAGAAAGCAGAAAATGTGGACCATGTAACACTTGAGGTAACAAACTATTGAAAGAGGAGCTGAGAATGAAGTAGCCACTTTTAATGAAACCCCAACTCTGAAAATTATGTCCCCAGTTTTTCTTTGTGGTCTATGTTTTAAGTCTGTTTATGGCTTTTACTGTAAGAAGTGACTCGACATAGTTATCGTATGCCACAAATCTTAGAATCAACTAGGTCATCTCTCTGCAATGTCATTATGGCAACTTAAGTGACTGCCATAAAATTTAAAAAGAAAAAAGACTTCCTTTTCTGTTCCAATCATCATTTTTATGATTCAAGTCTTGGAGAGAGTGAGGAAAAGAGAAAATGGAAATAACTTCATTTTGGAAATCTGTAGAGTTGAAGGCATGTATTTATTTTAATCGACATTATTTTAACTTCCACAAAGGTTATCTAAAGCCTGTCTCTTTCCATTTGTCCACCTTTTGGAACACAATTTTTTGGGGTGGGATGTCCCAGGAATTTGTTGAGGGAATCCCAGGTTCTAGTTCATGTCATGAACCAATAATTTTGTTCCTCACCAGCACTGGCCTTGTTTGGGAAGGCAAACACAAAGTAATCCTGGGGATGGACACTGCTCTGCATAACACAGTTATTTTAAAAAGGCAGATAGTATCACACCAGATCAAAGGGTGATACCAGAAGGAGGTTCTTATGCAAGATACACATGCACCTTCTTCAGCAATAATGTAAGTCCCCTTTTCAACACCCAGGTAACAGAAGAATGGTCTCTAACTGAACTAATAATTCTAGTTGCACATTTCTAACCTCTCTATGTTCTGTACAATGACAGTTGAGCTTT